TTTTACTTTATTATCTGAAATCAGTTTAAACCCATTCAAATGAAGTGACTGGCTAATCAGCTTATTTTTCAAAGACTCTGGTCCAAAGACTACATATTGTAACAAAAAGGCTGCCAGACTGAGAGCCTTGATGATCTAATTGAGTGTTTTGAATCCATCAGCAAGACCAGCTTATTTGATAGCACCACAGTCAGGGAGGCAAATGGCTACCTCAGGATGTTGTAGGATGATGAATTCAGATTTTTCCTTAAGCTATTTTATCAAATCATGCCTCACGTTGACATGATGTACCAGGAGCTGCAGATAAAGGAAATTGACAGTCTTCATCAAACGTGACCTCCAGAGATTTACAGGCAGTGTGCAGGCCATAAGGTATGAGTAATATGTCATATTTTATTATAAGGATAATGTTCATACCCTCTTGATTTGTATAATTATCATTTGTCTAACAAATTTGAAAATAAAATACCTAGCCACTCCAACAAAATCAGATAAAAAAGCCACAGAAAGAATTAGGAGACCACTTAAGGATTTAAGATTTTTATTCCTACTTTATTTTTTACTTCTACTTTTATATAATTTTTCTATGTATATAATATGTTTAAAACTTACAGAATGTTTATACTATAACTTGCAGTGGCCTTTTACAAATTTTTTTGTGGCCGTATATAATAACTGTTTATCGTTTCTGTTTTTCTAAGATGGAAAATGTATTCATGATCAATTACATACTGTTTGTATAATAACAACCACTCTTGGTATGTCTTCCTTCAGGGACAAAAGCTCTTCTCAATTACAACAGACAACAGGAGACACAAATTCAAGGAGAGCCATAGGAGACAAAGAGAAACAGATGCTGACTCAAGCAGGTATCTTCATCTATTGACCAATAAGCTGACTTTCTTTGTTTGGTTAGCCTACATACAAGGATATTTATTCTATTTTTTAATCAGTGTTGTACTATATCCCAATACCAGTGCTTCCATATCTCAACAATTAGCTTTCACAGCACTGAATAAATATACAGTGTATGTAAATACATTTATTTTTTGACAGAACTGTGACACAATCCTGGCCCATGCCAGAGAGAGGTTCTCCTTTCCTGACCATCTTGTAAGTGCGACGCTACTACAAGGAGAGATGTTTGAACAGCATTAAGTGCATTCCCAGTAGAGGCTCTGAACACCACTGTCAGGGCATGCCCCATGCTGAACCAGGCAAAGTTCAAGACTGAACTATCTCTTATTTACCAGAGTCCTGATTTCAAGAGCTGCTGTGGTGCACTGGGATTGTACCAGTCTCTACAGAGGTACAACCTGCAGGATACTTTTTCTGAAACCGTGGTTTTGCTGAACATCCTTATAACTACTCCAATGACAACAGCTGAAGCTGAGAGGTGTTTCTCAACACTGAAGAGAATAAAGACCTTGCTGAGAAATGCAATGGCACAGGAACATCTGAATGCACTGGCAATTCTTTCCATGGAAAGGGAGTTAGTCAGGAGCATGCCTACTTTCAATGAAACGGTGATAGACAGATTTGCTGCATTGAAAGAAAGAAGAGCAAAATTTCAATATAAATCAGTACCAGTAGTTATCCAATTAACTGACCAATCAACATTAAAGTTTATTTAATTATCTTATTTTAACCCAAAAAAGAGAACATTATAAAAGCGCATATAATTGTGTTCTTGCCTGATGCTTATTTCCTAAAATTTGTAACTAATATCACTCATCTTCTCAATGCTAAGTTGAAACATTTACAGATGGGCTTAATCTCTTTTAGTTTAGGGCACCCCCTTGTGGAGATATATATATATATATATATATATATATATATATATATTCAACTGTACATTTGCTAATCTGCAATTGTAAATCTGTAATGATTAATTATCTGTAATGTTTACATATCAGCTGCAATTAGAGTAAAATGACAACTGAATCGGATGATTTTGAGTACTTTTATTTTCTTATTGCTAAAAGAGGTGACTTTAGATCAAAAAGTGTGAAATGTTAATTGTAAGACCAAACTCACAAATACCATCACTGATGGTAAACAGGGTTTACGTAGCTGTCAATTTACCCATTAGATGGGTCACTTTAGCTATCACCTCAACTATTTGTCCCCCTGATACATTTGGCAGGAGCCGCCACTGATCATGTAGTCATCTTTGTCATCTAAAAGCTGTAGGTTTGTTTCCAGCCACCTTCTGCCACATGTCGATGTGCCCTTTGGTTACGCGTTTAACCCCAAGTGTGCTCTACAGGAAATCATTCCAATTGGACAGTGACAAGGAAAAAGTCTACAAACAGCTTGTTTCTGAGTGTCACATCAACATCTAAAGTGACCAATTAATAAAACAAACAACACTGATCTGTTTGAACAAGGCATTAGCTGAACTTGAGATACGTTACAGTAGTAGCCATTCAAAATTTCCCCACTTTCCTTGATGGGCCCTTGGTTTGTCCATGGCTGGTCCCCTACAATTCCTATTTAAACATCAATCTTTGTACTAAAATTTTCTGTCATTATTTGTGGACATTAAGATCAAAAGATAAACGTAATCTCCTGGTCAGACCCTGTAATTACGTGAAATGGTGGAGTCAGAGAAAAAAGAATATGCAAGAGGGGGTCACTCCAGTGGCTGAAAGTTAGAGGGGATCTTGCTAATGCTACGTTCAGAACGCAAGAGCAGCAAAAACACGCATGCAGCTTCATTTTTGATGTTTGTACAAGTTTAGTTCTGATGCTCCAGCTGCGCGGTACAAAAGTAGGTCTGATGCTCGTTGGGAGGAGCTACCCTATCCTTTCTGCGTAGTTTTAATATGTTTTTCAGTGATTAAGTCCACCTGAAAACTTAATCTGTGCAGTAAATTCATCCAGATTACCATCCTGCATTAAAATATTATTTTGCTGTCGGAGCAGCTCAGACCTCCACATACTGGCGGTTGCGCTGTCGGTAAGAATCCCATTCAACAGCAGCCTATGGCCCGGTTGTCTCTTTGTGGTTTGCCGTGGCAGCTGGAAGGTGGTTCTCATGTACGTAATCCAAACTGCAGACACCTGGATAATAAAAGTGAGCATGTTTTGCTGGCAGATTACGGCATTTTAAGTTAATTTAGGCGTAAATAAACTGTTTCAGAGGAGTGATCATAGTGATCTGTATCATCAGCGATGTGTCTGTCTCTCTGCCAGCTTCCAGATCAGCTTCTCTGATTGGTTGATGTGGCGCATCGGGCAGCAAAAGTTCAATTTTTCCAACTCCAGCAGCAGCTGCGTGGATTTAATCTAGAAGGTGTGAATTACATCTTGTCTATATGAGGAAATCAGTGATTCACAATCAGAACCAGAAGGGAGGGAGTTTAATTTAGCTACAGTGAAGTGCTGCAGGTTACTTTCTGGGGCACCAAAGATGGAGGTTACAGGTCCAGTGCCCCTAGTGGCTAGATCTTAAACAGTGTTGCTTGAGGTTTCTAAAGACAAAAACAAAAAACCCTTTTAAACATTTTCTCCCATCACATAAAGGCTGATTTTATTGGTGAAAATATTTAATGACCTGCATAAAACTGCAACATTACATCATCTTGGTCTGTTTTAAAACAGATTTATCTTTAAATATTGCAAAGCACATATCATTAATTTACAGATTGGATACAATATATTCAACCTGTGGTTGTTGCTATGGTAACATGTCATTGGTTGATCTGAGCAATGAGGCCCTCCAGCTCTGGTCGTGCCTTGAAGCGTGCTTGGAAATCTGCCTCAGTGTGCTGAGAGGGGAATAAAAAAAAAGAGAAAAAGAGAAAATTAACAAGCTTTAGAGAGACTTAACAGCATTAATTAATAAGTTTATTTACAGCTGTTTATTTTGGTACAGAAATGTTATTGTTTGAATCCACCCACAAGCCAATTAATGCCTCCAGAAAGTGTTTCCCAAGAAAAAAAGGACAAATGAAAAAGGTCACCAGTTTTAGTCTCCACATATTTTCACCAACATCTTCTCTTATTCATGAGTGAGTGTGTGCGTGAATGACTGAATGTGGAGTGAGGTGCTACAGGCCATTTCAATTTATCTTAATGTTTTTTCTCCATTACAGTTAGTTCACAAAGTATATCCAAGGCTTTTTCCTACATTGTGTGCAGAATTATTAAGCAAACGAGTATTTCGACCACATCATCCTTTTCATACATGTTGTCCTACTCTAAGGACAACATGTATGTTGTCCTTGGAGAAGGAGCTTGGCAGGCTTGAAAGCCAACTACCAATTAAGTAGATCAGGTGGGTGTTCATCTCTGTAATGAGAAAGGGTGTAGCCTAATAACATCAACACCCTATATAAGGTGTGTTTAATTATTAGGCAACTTCCTTTACTTTGGCAAAACGGGTCAGAAAAGAGCTTTGACAGACTCTGAAAGACATCTGACAATTTTTGACTTTTCAGAGGGGTGCAGCAGTTTGGAAACTGTCAACCTTTTGAAGCAGGATAATCGCACAATCAAGCGGTTCATGGAAAATAGCCAACAGGGGCGCGAGAAGTGTGTTGAAAAAAGACGTCGTAAAATAACTCCCCATGAATTGAGAAGGATCAAGCGTGAAGCTGCCAGGAAGCCATTAACCACCAGTTGTGCCAAATTTCAGAGCTGCAACATGTCTGGAGTCCCGAGAAACACAAGGTGTTCAATACTCAGGGACCTGGCCAAGGTAAGGAAAACCGAAAAACAGCCACCTTTGAACAAGACACACAAGACATAATGTCAAGATTGGTCCAAGAAATATCTGAAGATTTCTCCAAGGTGTTTTGGTCTGAAATGAGAGTGATGGGCCAGATGGATGGACACGAGGCTGGATCAGTAAAGGGAAGCAAGTTCCTGACTGACTCAGAAGCCAGCAAGGTGGAGGTGGGGTACTAGTATGGGCCTAAACAACACGAAACCTTTCCTCCCTCATTCATAAAAACCATCTGAACCGTCTGAAACCGTATTCTAAATTTCTTTATTGGCACCATTTAATTAAGATGAGCAAAAAGAAAAGAAAAGGAAAAAAACGACATGTCATTATAATCACACCTTTTATAATTATTGTTCACTTCATGAAACCATCGAGCAAATAAAGCTTATTCAGCTCATGAGTTATGGAAATCCTCACTGCTTTGGCTGAATCTCAAACTACATTGTTAAAAAAAAAATCAAAATCTAGATAAGTCATTTTTTCTTAAAATGAGTGCATTTATTCTTGGATTGAGGAGGTAAAAGAGACATTTTGCCAATGGAACAAGAGAACTTACACTTAAAATAAAAAACACAATTGCATTGTCTAATTTAAAGTGCATATTATCTGTCTAATTTTAAGAGTGAAAATACTTTTTCCATTGGTGATGCCACAGTTAATGGAGGAAATTTTTACTTATTTCTAGATCGTTCTTCCAGTGTGCCCCCTCAGCCCTGTAGCGCAAGTTGACATGATATACATTTCCCCCATTCTTTAAAAATCAATCAATAAATAAACTGCTTCAAAGAGGACCTCCCCTTTTTTTTTTCTTTGCCTAACTTAACTTTTAACTCTAGCTTTTTAAGGGCTGAATGGGCTGTAAGTGCCTTGATGAACTGTAAAGTTCCGTTGAGATGATTGGCGCTAAATAAATAAACTGAATTGAATGGTCCACTCACCCTACCCACTATGTGGTATAGGAGCGCCCTTAAAGTTCAAATAGAAAACACATACTTATAGTTTCTAATTTAATAGTATGCACAAAATTAAATACATCACAAGTGAAAAATTATTGTTTATAGCATAAAATAATTCACTTAGATAGAAGACGGCCCAAAATTCCTCATTAAGTCACGTGACTCACTGAGGGATGCAGTGACATCAGCAGATCAAGGATTTAAGGGCCGTTGAGCAATTCAATTCAGTTTATTTTAAACTGAATTGAACTGAAATTGAATTGAGACTTCTGCTTTAAAAAAAAGAGGATGTTATTGCTGACAGGGAGCCATCCTGTGACATTATGGGATGTTTTGCTGTAATGTGATCCTTGCTGTGATAAACGTTTAGTCCACTTTAGGAAACTCAATGTTTTTTCTACTGCTACGCTATTAGCAGGCATGACGCAGAACAAATATGCTAAATTCACACGTTTTGAGATTTATTTGCCACAAAAAATTCTGAAACAATGAAGAGACTGGCCTCAACTCCTGCAGAGCTGAAATAAAGAGCTGACCAAGCCTCGTCTTTAAGTAGAAGCTGTTACTGCTGCGAGCCAGCAAGCTAACGGGGCAAGAATTCTTGTCTCTACTCTAGGGGCTATATGTAGAGCTCCCCCTAGAAGTTTGGTGGGAGAAAGTTTAGTAGATATCAGCGGGTTATAGCCCAGTGCAGCTTGTATATCTACATTTCCAGTTAAAAAAAAAAAAATAAATAAAAACTTAGGGGTCACAGGTTATAGTCATGGGCGCTCTATATTCTCTAATCTGAAAAGATATCGGAATTATATCAACTAAAATTCAGCAATATATTATGATAAGGTATTTCTTTTTAACATCCAGTCGTAATCCCAACAAAAATGATCTAGATGCAGTTTGCAAAACAAAACACTAGAGATCAAGTCCACTTGAAGGAAACTGTATGAACAGATGACTATGAATCACAGAAATAGAACAAAGCATCAGATCTGACTCACCTCCTTCACAGAAAGCTGAACTCCTTCTGGTTGGTTCTTTAGAAGGACGTCCACAAGGACAGGACACAAGTAGGCGTCCAAACTGCTAAACTAAACACACAAACGACACGTTTGCTCAGTGTCCCAAATATTGGCAAGCATCTGAACAAACCTGCAGCTGGGTAAGCTTTCTAGGAACCTGGACTACTCGTTGGTGGGTCTTCAGGACAGCGTCCACGTACGTCTTGTTGCCTTGCTCCTGCATTAGCATTACTTCTGTGCTCTTGGTTGGCAAAGCATAACTGCAGGAACAAAACAGACAGAAAGGTTGCATCAGAACAACACACTAGCCAGTTTATCAGGTAAAATAAAACACAGACGAGACAACAAGGAGAGATTTTTAAATGTTCTACAGCCGTTTAGATGTTAACCTCAGATCAACATCTTCCACTAGTCTGGTCCTCTGGGTCCACTGACAGAAATAATAATCAGGTCATCAGCAGGACTTATTGGGTCGTTCACATGTGGAAGCAGAGACACATGTTAAAGGTGCCGGATTAAAGTAAAGACCATTGACCTATGTTTTTTATTTTACATTTCCAATCAGTTTTATGTCCAGAATATTTTGGAAACTTTTGATGCATTTTCAGGATAACTTTCCCAACTATTCCTTTTCTGAGTCAAAAAAAAACTGCATCAGATTGTCAGGAACGACTGCGAGAAACTGGAAGCTTCTGGAAAATCCACTGTTTACAGGGCTGCTGGTATTCTCCTCCGTCAGAGAGCTGACCAAAAACACTGCTGATCTTACACACGAGGAGAATACGCCAGCTCTCAGGCATGGCAACGGCAGCATCATAATGAGGGCATGTTTCTGCCAGCGAAGCGGGTGTGTTGCTGAGGGATGGGATGAAGGAGGTGTTTTGGTTCCAGGATTCTAATTGTAATTGCCCTCTGCAGGACGTTAAAGAAAACGTTGCTGATTTCCGTTCTCTGTTGGGCAGTCGCTCCTTCAATCAGGGTTTTCCTTTCATTTTAAGTCCAGCTAATTCTCCCCACAGATCAGGCCTTTCACTGAGTCATATATCAAATACAGATGGAAAAGCTTGGAAATTAATCCAACTATTCTGCTTTTTTTTTTTAGCTATGTTTCTGTTTCATTAAACCCAAAATGTTTTGGCTCCATAGTTTTAATCCTTTCAGAGGGAGTTGAACCCCCCGATCGTGGTCACCTTTCAGCCACACGGATTCCCAGCCGGTTGCAGAGGTTATGGATGTACTGAGAGTAATGCTCCACCACCGTCATGTCATAACCAGACACCTGCACGTTTAGAGTCCCGTATGATGTATCGGTAGCTGGAACCATCTGCCTCTGCTGGCTTCTGTCTTTCTTTTTCTTGGGCTGAAATAAAGAATAAAAATAGATCAATAATAGCAAATCTTTTGACTCATTTCACATTAGAAACTGCTTTTAGCTTCTGAAGTAACTCTTCATCTGCAGATCAAAGTGCAAACTTGTTACTGAAAAGAAAGGAAGGTCAGTGAATCATTTTTTTTTCCAAATGTCAAAAATCTCAGTAGACTTAGACAGACTTTGTCATTTTGTACGGTATATAGTGTATACAAAATGAAATTGCGTTCAGTACAGCTCTCAAAACATTTCCATTTCTTAAGTGCTTCCGTGATAAAATGTAAACATGGTGATCAAATGTAAACATAAGACTGGGATATGATTTACAGTTTCGAACATTTTTTCTCTAACTCCATTTTATACAACATTAAGCAATCTATTTTTTTTAAATAAAAACTTTAAAAGATATAAAAAAGCCGATTAAAATCAGAATAGCTGAATCTTTGATGAACATTTTAAAAGTTGAATGGTGTTTCTAGCTGAACGTTTGCTGAAGTAGTTAAAGGTCAAACATGGTAAAGTTTTAGCTGAAATCTGAGAATTATACATGCATTTCAGTTGGACAAAAAAAAGAAGAAAAAAAACACATAAAAAGCTGAATATCGTGAAAACTACAAAAAAATATATCTTTACCAAAAGACAGTGCAGAATTCTCCTGAACAAGCTGAACGTTTTGATAACAAAATTGTTGAAATTGCTTGAAAACGGCAGCACTAGTTTAAGTCAGAAAAATAAAAAGAACAAAACAATAAGTGGGAATACATAAGCATCACCACTTGATAAACACGTTAAATGTGGAAACCTTCGATCTGAACACTAAGATCTGCCTAAAGAAATATTTTTCTGTTTGACTGAGTCGAAGAGCGACAACTGTTCAATAAAGCAAATCACTGCTGTGATGACTGAACAGTGTGTCAGAAGGGCCAAGTTCAATTTGTGGCAGCAGCATCTGGTAGTGGCACTTCCAGCGGCACTTTTACTGGCATGCGACTTCCACATAGTGTCCCTACGCCGACAGGCCACCTGCCGCACTTCTACTGATGTTAATGGGCAAATGGTTTGATGTTGGGAATATTTAATGCCTGTTTAAAGCTACTTTCAATTAAAGATTTGCTAAATTCACATAATTTAATGAAAATTTTAAAACAATTTAAGGGAAAGTTATAAGATAAATGTTTGAGTGACGGGTTTGACTTGTAATAAGAAAAAAATTATGTGGTGATATGAAAAAAATCGCCTGAAAATATGCTGGCACATTTAGGTAGTCAGTGGCCATTGTGTGCCACGAAATTGCACGGTGATGCCAGGATCCTATCAAGATGCCTGACTGGTTTTAAAAGCCTTCAACATCCCACGGCGGCCGCTGCTGTTTTTATGGAAACAAGGCTGATTATTGGCAACCGGGATGTCAGGATAGGAATGAGCTACTGAGTAAATAAGTAAATAAATAAGTACTTTCAATTGATGGCGTTACTGTTTTTGAATTGATAAAAAGTGTTGGACACAAAATATACAGTAACTCTACTTCAGATGTAAACTAGGCCAATATGTCCTAATGCATGGTAAGTATATGACAGGCAGCAAGGATGGCAAATACTCACTGCACAAACATTCGGGTTATTATTATATAGCATGAGAGCTTATTGCAAGTTTATCCAGAAAACAAAATATCTTAAAAACACGCTGGTACTCTGTAGAATTCTCTGGCCATGAAGATGCCACAAGATGCCACATATGTCTGTATGGAAACAGGTAAAATAATATATGATAGGTCTATGCTCCATGTTATTATTGATTACTAACTACAAATAGACTACGGATAGCTTAGCTAGACTGGTAACAAATACAACATAAAATGTTCTAAATGCATTTTGAAAAATCTTTATTGTTACCATCGCATTAATTGAAAGTAAACATAGAACAAGCATCAAATAATCAGAAAATCAAAACGTTTGCCCAAAAACACAATAAAAGTGCGGCACGCAGCCTGCCGGGTTAGTGCCACCTTGTAGCAGTCAGATGCCAGTGAAAGTGCCACAAGAAGTACCAGTACTCTCCAAGTGCCACCGGAAGTACCAGATGTCTCTGCGGCAGAGGTGTAACGTAACTAAGTACAAATACTTTGTTAGAGTAGTTATTGATGCTGAAGAAGAGTGTTGTTTAAATGTTTTTGCTGATGATAATTTTAAATTCTGGATTACTTGCAGATTAAAAGAATAACTCCTCAGATAGCCTTAGAATATTCTCAAATCCTGTTTATTTTATTTCCACATACATAAAACCAGCATATTTGATTCTGTTGAGGCTCTATGATGAGACCGAGAAAAAAAAAAAAGTTTTCATGTGAATTAAAATAATTGTCATTCTTTATCCCCATGGTAACCAAAATGGTTTTGAGAATCAGATGATTTTTCTGGGTAATGGTATCAAGTTTGATATTTCGTGACAACCCAGTTTCCAGCATCATAAACTGAACCTTGAGCAGGAGACGTTTTTTTGGACTTACAGCCTGTTTGGGTAACAGATGCCTCCACCGTCCAATCCCGTGTGTCGGCATGCCTTTGTACTGTCTCTCATTTAGACAAGCAGCCCCTAAAAGAATGAGCTTTCTTTAATCAAACAGTTCAGGAACACACGGGCATAAACAGATTGGTGAAGCAATGACACTCACACAATAGAGGGTGCTGGATGGAAGGCGTGGCTCTGCAAAGATCACATGACAGAGATCATTCAGCAACATCAAGAACCTCAAAGACGACTAAAGCAGAAACAAGCTCTTAAAATCCTAGACATTCATTTGGTGAAGCCTAACCCTAAATGCTGATAGTTTTGATTGAGGTTCTTAATCCTTTCCTAATATAAACATTACTTGCTATAAGGAGTGGTTTATATGTTTGTGTTAACAAATCGAAAAATGTATTTTCTGCACAAACCTGTTGTTTTGTAATCATTTCATTTTATGCTTTGTAATATCAAAATCTGCATGCATCGTTGATCTGATTCCAAAAGTTTAAACATTAAAACAGATGTTATGAGACAATCACTCCGTAGTTAGGAAGCCATTTTACCAAGTACTTTCTCACTCTTAGTTGATTAAAACTGTTGGTTACTCTGTCATTAAGTCAGTACCATTCATACTTTTTTGTATGGAGACAATAAATACATAGTTCTCTGACCAGGCCCCCGTTTTCCTCCACACATCTGTGTAGCAGCAAACTTTGAACAGGACTACTGATTGGTTTACGTTGAACAATGACTGGATTTTTTGCACCTCATCCATAGAAACTAATTTTTAAATGGATGCTGAAGCTTGGCTATTAAATTTCTAGAATAGAAACAGTTGGATGCATGCTGAGATTAAAGCACACACCAGTGTTTAGCTTTATATTTTTAATAGGGCTTGGGCGTCATGAAGTAATTACTTTGAGTGGCCGCCATGTTGATTGCCTCCTTTACCGCTGCTCAGACTACTGCCTACGACTACCGCATACTGTACTCCCTCTCAGCCGTGTTTTAATTTGATTAATTTCACCTTAACTTGATTTCAACCATGGTAAACCGTTGCTGTATTGTGGGCAGTAACAGCGCAACACATGATCGCCATGCGAAAAACATAGAAAATGGATTAACTTTCCACCTCTTTCCTGCCTGGAGGCGCAACCACGGAGACCAAGTGTCAGAGATAAAGAGTCGTCGGCTGGCTTGGATCGTGACTGTAAGACGACCGAACAGAACTTTCAACAGTATCCCGATGTCAATGAGAGTGTGTTCCCTGCATTTTCCTTCTGGTAAGTTAAAGATGCACGGTTTTATCTTATAGCCAACCTTGTTTCTTTCCTTCAAGGTTGGGATCTTTTTTATGGGAAAATAATAAAAACAGCAGCGGGAAAAGGCTCAAATATGTGAGAAACCTAGAGGGTTTAGGGAGGGTTGGCAGTTAACGTTACTAACTACACCTTTGAAACACATAGCAGGTAGTTAAAAGGACATTACATTTGGAGTGGTTGTTAGCACTAACGGTTAGCAGTTACTAAACTAGCAGGTTCCAGAGCCCATCTAAGCTCAGCTTACCTTTGTAGGGATTACTGTGTTCCCACTGTTTGCTGGCTTTATGATCTGCAGCTCCTGAACCCATCCATTCATGAACTGCACATGAGACTCCAAGGACTTGTAGCTTTGGAACTGTTTTTAAGCTCACTCATCGGTGCTCAACTCAATGTTTGGAACTTAATATGGAAATTATTAATAATGCTGATTTTGTCAACATACCGGTCCCTGGCTTCTCCGTTTAATGTGTACCGATAAATTCCAGATCCTTTTCGGGATTTTAACATCTTTTTTCTCTCTACTTCTACATCTCTTCTTTCAACAACAACGTTGTATCAGAGCTATATTTATGTTCGCGTAGCCCTCAACATGGCCGCCACGTCCCACAATGCAACGCGATCCACCCTATTAAAAAAACTAACAAAAGAAAGCTGTGTCCCTTTGGTTCCAATTCAACATTAGTGTTGCTAAAACCAGCTGAATTGTGTGGTTTGACATGAAAACCCGTAAAAACACTCAAAGTGTATAAATGCCTTTAATCAGCACTGTTTTTAATCTACAGACTGACCATCGGATCTTCCTGTCCAGCTTTACTGATGTCCAGAAGTCCTGTTCTTATTGCTACAAATATCACAGCTTCCAGCCATCAGACTTCATGCAAAGTGATATTATGGAAATGCAAAGACATACCTGCTTAACAGCTGCTTCAAGATGGATCTCTGTTGAGTGACGGTCACTTGGAGCTATATAGGATGAGAACAAGCAGGAAAGAGGTCAGAAATGAAATGGCTGAGCAGCAGCATCTTGTTGATCAGAGGGTCACAATGAAGCATCCAGAGTCAAAATAAAGACTTTGTGCTTAATCTTGCTCAATTACCCTTTTAGCACACACTTAAAATGTTACTGATGTGTGATTTGAAAGGTATATATATTAAAGTATAAAGAAATTAAACGAAAAAGAAAAGCTATAATAACTGCTTAAAAATTTTAAAAAATCAAAATCCTCGCCCGTAAAGTGAACTACAGGACACAGCTCTGTAGTGACCTTTGGAAAAAGCTAATAGCTAACAGATGAAGTTCTCGTTTTGCCTTACCTTCCGGTATATGTTGCTCATTTTCTCTCCGCTGTATTTAAGAAAAACACCATATGAGTAACAGTAAAGCTAAATACTTCAAACAAACACTAATTCACTTTTAAAAACACATCTACAATGCGGCGGCTGGAAACGGAAGTACTGAAGGAAAGGTGGTACGTCATATTTTCGGTCCGTAAAGCACAATATCAAAATACATGGGTTCCGCTTATGTTTTTTTTTTCCAATACAATTTTATTTTTATTTGTTTCTGCAAAGAACATTACAGAGCAACCATATTGCACTATAGGTATTCTTAACAACCATTTTTTTTTTACAGACATTTTCAGAAGATTAAAAAGGACAAAGGCTTCTCGAGTTTTGATTGCTTTCTTATTTTCTAAAAATTGTATGGTGCCAATGTATTGTTTGAGTTAATGCTTAAAAGCAGTACTGCACGGTTTGGAGCCTCTATGTTTGCCTCTATGTATAAAGAACTTGGCCATAATAATCAAGTCAATTACATATACCTTATCTGATCTCTTTGGTTGAACCTTCCCTTGATGCCGAATAGTATAGTCTTCCAAAATAAAATAAAATCTTTGTCTATTTTTCTCTTAATTAAGTAATAAATGTCGAACCAGAAGGACTGGATAAGTGGGCAGTTCAAGAATAGATGAACAAGTGTTTCAGGATTATTACAGCAGAAGCTGCAAGTGACATCAATGTTTTTTAATGTGTTTCTTGATAAGGACTTTGGTAGGATAAATGTGATGGATTATCTTAAATTATATTTCTTTAGTTTTGTTAGTTATCAAATATCAATTTGGAAGCAGCCAGACTTCTTTCCAGTTGACGTAATCCAAGAATCTTCCCCAGTGTGAGATGGCATAAGGTATCACTTTAATGTTCATTTGAAATAAGGCTCTAATTGATTTATTTTTTGAAACAACAAAACATATTTTTCCTACAGAAGAATCCACTGGAGATAACAAGGACACTGAGAAATGTTTAATTTAAGATGTGAGCAGAGAAGCGTACAAATAGCCGAAGAGGTGGATTCAAAGACTTTCGTATAATCCCCTGGAGGAATCGGAAGATTAAATTCAGTTAAAAACTCCTCATATGAGAAAAGGCAACCAGCTTTGTTAAACAACTGAGCCATGTTATTTGTGTAATGTTATTTTGAAACCAATACCCAATAAAAAGAGATTTATGCTTGTATAGAATGCCCCTGTTATTCCATATAAGATACCTATGGGGGAGAAGTTGTGTTTATAGATCAGAGTCCATGACAAGACGGACCGGCGGTGAAAAGCTGATAACTTAATGGGAATTTTATCAATATCATAATTACACATTATAAAGTTTAATCCACCAAGTTTAAAAATAATATGCAAAGGTATAGCATTCCAAATAGAGTTAGGATATTTGTACATATTTTTTAGCCAATTAAATTTTAAAAGGGTTGTTAAGAGTAGTAAAGTCTAGGAAGTTAAGACCACCTTCATTGTATGGATTCATGAGAACAGCTTTTTTTTTAAAATAGTGAGTCTTATTTCTCCATATGAAGTTAACTAACATTTTGTCAATGTCATTTAGAAGTTTTTTCTCTAAATGGAGAGATAAAGCTGCAAAAGTCAGACGCGAAATACCCTCTGCCTTGGTTATTAATACTCTCCCTTTAAGAAAAGAGATCTCTTAAGACCCATGTGTTTAGCTTTCTTTGAGTTTTCTGAATAATGGGTTCAAAATTTAAGGATGCTCTTCTTTGTTGATCTTTAGTAATTATTATACCCAAGTACCTCACTTCATCTTTAACCATTATATTAAAAATAGAGCTGGTGGAGCATTCCTTTATAGCCATGAGCTCACATTTGTTGACATTTACATATAATCCAGAAGCTCATGAAAACTCCTTTAATGATTCCAAAGCAATAGAGACCTGATTTTAATCTTTCAAAAATCCAAGAGAGGGATGCCTTGAATATCACCAGATTTAATATGGTCTGCTAAAAGCTGAGAAACCAGTAGAAAAAGGTATGGAGAAACTGGGCTTCCCTGTCTAATTCCTCTTAAAAGATCAAATCTAGAACAGGTTCCACCAGTTAACTTTACTGAGCTATTACCGTTTTTGTACAGGGTTCTTACTGACAATGAAAAATAATGTCTGAAACCAAATTTACACAAGGAGTCTAAGATGAATTGATGTTCCACAGTATCAAATGCTTTATAAAAGTCTACAAATAACAGAAAGCCATAATTTTTCAATAGATCTGAATAATCTAAAATATCTAGCACTAATCGTATATTGTTGCTTATGTGTCTGTTGGTCATAAAACCTGATTGTGTTTCATCTATTATGGAGTTTAAGACACACTTAAGCCTTTGTGCGATGACTAACGCAAAAAGTTTTATAGTCATTATTAAGGAAGCAAATGGGGCGCCAGTTGTCCAGAAATAAACTATCTTTATAAGGTTTGGGAATTAGTGTAGTCAGTCCCTGAGTCGTTGTGGTCGGGAGACTTTCTTCACTAAGACTCTCTTTATAAACTTCAAACAGAAAAGGGGCCAGCCCAGAGGTGAATGTATAGTAAAATTCTGCTCTTAGTCCATTAGTTCCAGGAGATTTGTTGTTTTTGAGAAGTTTAATAGCATTCAATGCTTCTTGATATGAAATGCGTTGATCACAAAATTTCTTATCAGTTTGACTTAGGGTCTTGGTTGAGATGGACTTCATGAAGGAGCCTGCTGAAGCCTGAGAGAAGTTGGATTCATAAAGTTGTTTGTAGAAATTTGAGCAGAAATTAGCTATTTCAGTGTAGTTTTCAGTGATATTTCCATTGATATTTAATTTATTTATAGAATTATTAATAGAGTGATGCTTTTCAGGATTAAACAAATTAGAATTTTGTTTTCCTTCTTCCAAGCATTTTTATCTTGACATAACAAAAGCTCCCTTTGCTTTTTGATAATATAGTTCATCTAATTTATCCTGCAGCTTTGTTAACTCAATTTTCTCATCATCCTGTAGCGTCCGGATTTTTCCTGTAAAAAGAGTAAATATTTTTTAATATATTAACTTCTACCATGTTTTCTTAATACTTTCTGGGTTCCGCTTATGTACAGAGCAAAGTTTCTTCTGGTCCGCCTCAGTGGTGCATTCAGGTGAACTGGTATTTCAGAATAGCTTTAAGGAAACATCTTCACCCACATTGTTTTAAACCTTCATAAAGCAGCACGGTCCTGTTCATCACCTGTGAAATAGGATCATTCATAAAACTAAATAAAATTTTTTTGAAAGGTTGAAACCTAAAGTTCTATTGGAGAAAAATCATGGATGGATCCTGCAATATTCCATCTTTGACGATTTCATCTTAACGGTTAAATGGTTTTTGTCTCCCAGAGCTTCCGTTCCACTCTTCCATCAGCATCTGGGGCTTGGTATCAAACTTTAATGCAAAATGTACTTTTCTACATTGTTTTCTTATCTTTGGGGGAAAAAGACATTTCTTTATACATTTTCTTATTTTATGTAAGATCGAGTGAAGATCTCAGGTTCTTTAAGACTGAAAGGAACAGAGCAAAACTTTAAAATTGTGAGTAATTAACGTGAATAGGTTAAAATCATTTTCAATTACTTCCTTTTTCTGCACAGAACAGTGTCTCATTGGGCTGCTCCTGACTATCATATATAGTTAGTCAGACCCTCCCTTTCCAAAATTAAACCATCAATGAAGATCCAATTAAATGTCCAAAATCAAATGTGCTTTTTTTTTTAGCTTTCAGTAAAAACTGTAGTAAATTTCTACTAAGATCAGCATTTGACCTAGATACACCCTGAGACCATCGCTGATGGGTCCCATTATATTTTATGTAGCTTGTGTCAACAATATCAATGCTGTACTAAAAGGGGGAGAAATAAAAACACTCCTTTTATGAGGTGAGTATAACGGAAGAGCAACAAAATTAATATGGAACTTAGAATTTATTAATACCAGGTTTTATCTTATTTCTTCCCAGTCTCTCACATTAGAAGAAAAATGTATTTAACATTCTAATATTCCAGGCTTAAGGTAGCATATTATTGATCAAGTGCAAAATGTTTCATCACCTAAAACTTCTAAGATTTCTGTATGAAGTGTGCATAGAAACAATTTCATATACAATGCAAACACTGGTTTTAAAGCGTTACTTCTATGTAAACTGTTAAAGATTGCATTTCTTCCACTTGTTAAACAACATTCTCTCGTTTGTAATGAATAAACTAGCTTAGACAGCTTGTTCAAATACTTCTGACCGGATGTTTACTTTCCGTTGTCAAACATGCTGCCAAACCAAGACTAAAGAGTTCATTTTTTTTTCTACTCTTAAATTATCTTTTCTTATCAGGCACGTCGACAGCTGGCCTTTCTAGAAGATGCTTCCCGCGCTTCCTCAGGAAAACATCTTGGATTTAGGAAAATATTTATCAAAGTGATAGAAAACAAAGCATTGCAGCCATGCAGAGGTTTTCTACATTCTGTCATACATTCATATTTGTTGATGTGAGCTGTTTCACATCCAGCAAATCTCTTATAAAGGACTTCCATCAAGTTCAGCCTTCTGTCAGTTTTCATTGGCTTCTGTGAATCCAGCTGAGGGGGTCAATCTGCTGCTGCTGTAGCAACAAATGAAAAACCCTCTACAGCTAAACCATTCTGTCTTCCTCTGACTCTTCTTCCTCTACATCCTCATCCTCATCATCTTCCTCCTCCTCCTCCTCCTCTTCCTCCCCTTCTTCCTCCTCCTCCCACGGGCTCAAGTCGTGGTCAGCCAGATCATCGTCATGGACCTCTTCCTCCTCTTCATCACTCCTAATTTCATCCTCGCTGCTGTCATCAAGGTCATCTTCATCGTCGTCTTCATCCTCTGCAGCCTCTTCCTCGTTCTCCTCATGATCTTCTTCCTCCGTTGGATCAGACAGGCTGCCTGATGGCCGATTGCATTAAGAGAAATGAGATTTTCTGTACATTGTAGATGTAGGAAACTAAAGGATAAAACAAAAGACGTACACAAGGAGTTGATCCCAGAGATGATGTGACACGGAAGATCATCAAGAAATCTGCTCATTTCTTCCTCCATCCTCAGGCTGAGGATCTCAGTCTCCATTTCAATGTACTCTGGGTAGAACATGTTCTTCCTAAGCTGCTT